CTGCTCTTCCCTCCGCCTCTCTCGGCTCCTCCTCCTGCTCGCCTCCTGCTCCTACTCCTCGTCGTCGTCATCCTCCTCCTGCTTCTCCTCCTGCTCCTCCTGCTTCTTCTCCTCCTCCTCCTCCTCGTCTTGCTCTCTGCGTTTCCACCGCCCTCGTCTTCCTCATCATCATCCCTTCTTATCTTCGAACATCCCCATAAAGCCTCCATCAACCATCCTCCTCATCCTCATCATGAACAAAATTACCTATACGACCACCTTGCGGGTGATAAGGAGGTTGGGGGGGACACAATCGATCTCACTGTCGATCTCACTATCCATCCCACTATCGATCACACTATCGATCTCGCGATCGATCTCACTATCGATCTCGCTTTCGATCTCACTATTCATCTCACTATCGATTACACTATCGATCTCGCTATCGATCCCACTCTACCGATCTTACTATCGATCTCACTATCGATCTCACTATCGATATCACTTTCGATATCACTATAGATCTCACTATCGATCTCTCACTATAGATCTATAGATCTCACTATCAATCTCACTATCGGTCTCATTATCGATCTCACTATTGATCTCACTATCGATCTCACTGTCGATCTCACCACGGGACACCACGGGACAACGACGGGACACCGGCGGGACACCAGCGGGACACCAGCGGGACACCGGACACCGCGCGACACGGGTTGCCGGGCGGAGAACCTTTTGGTCTGGCCGCGGCCCAGCCACGACGGGACACCGGCGGGACACCAGCGGGACACCAGCGGGACACCGGCGGGACACTGCGCGCAACGGGTTGCCGGGCGGAGAACCTTTTGGTCCGGCCGCGGCCCAGCCACAGGAGAATTTCCTCTCTCCCGCCCACGCAGCTTCGCCTCGCCCGCACGCACGGCACGAACACGAAATCGAAATCGATTTCCCGGTAGGGGGGCTCTCCGTTCCAATTCGATCTAACCCCCAAACCTCCGATCATAATCATCCTCCTCGGTGTTGTCATCGTCGTCGTCATCAGTATCGGCGTCGTCATCGTCATAAGCACTCTAATCGCCACCCCACCACCATCATCATAGAAGAAGCAACAGCATCATCATCGTCCTCATCCTCCCCCTCCTCCTCCTCCTCCTCCTCCTCCTCCTCCTCATCATCATCATCATCATCATCATCATCAGCATCATCATCATCATCATCATCATCATCATCATCATCATCATCATCATCATCATCATCATCATAATCATCATCATCGACATCATCATCCTTATCATCATCCTCATCATCAGCATCATCATCAACATCATCAGCACCAGCATCATCATAGGCATCATCAACAGCCTCAACATCAGCACAATCATCAGCATCATAAGCATTAGCAACATCGTCATCATCATCAGCAGCAGCATCAGCATCATAATCCGCATCAGCATCACCACCACCATCACCACCATCACCACAAACATCATCAAAAGCATCAGCATCAGCAGCATCAGCATCAAAACCATCAGCATTATCTGCATCATCATCCTCATCACCATCATCACCATCACCCTACCACCCATTATCATCATCATCATCATCACCACCACCACCCTCATCATCATCATCATCATCACCATCATCATCAGCAACAGCATCATCATCTGTATCAGCATGATCATCATCATCATCATCGTCGTCGTCGTTGTCGTCATCATAGTCATCAGCATCATCATCATCATCATCATCATCATCATCATCAGCAGCAACATCTTATCCATGATCAGCAACGCCAACGGAAGCGCGTGCTTTCGGAGGGCCGCGCATGCGGGGGGAGGGGGTGACGGGACGGGGCAGACTTAGACGAGCAGTTGCGGGATAGGGCAGGGTACACATGGGGCGAGCCCCGAGTCCTCGACCAGCCATGCTTGGGCTGTTTGCGCAGTGCGTCTCAGGACCCTGATGCTCCTTCCCTGACTTCCTCCCTCCCTCCCTCTTGCTCTCTCCCTGTGTCTATATCTATATACAAGACTGCATTGGCGCTGCGCGCCATGCACCTTGGTCCTTTGAGTTCTGCACGCAAGCGGAATGCGTGCGTGCGTACATGCGCGCATGCATGTATACACGCGCACTTGCATGCACGTTCCATATAAATGACATTGTTGTATGTGTGTATACAGCGTACATATGTACATATACATTTATGTGTAAGGGTATGCGCATGCATACGTATGCAACTCGTACGGGGCATCCTCGGGCATCTTCGCTGCATGCCACGAGACCCTCAACGACTGGGTCGCAATGTGAAATGTCATGGGGGCAAAATCGATGAGTGTTGGCATTCGGAAACATCGTGGGGGTGCTTTCGGGGCCCTCGTGGGCCGTTTTGGCGCCTTCATGGGCCGTCCTGGAGCCTTCTTGGGCCGTCTTGGGGAGCTTGGGCCCGCTGGAGCCCCCTTTGGACCCATCTTGGGCACTTCCGAGGACCTCCCATGGCCCTTGTGGGTCTGTGCTGGGATCCCCTGGGGGGCCTCTTGGTTCCATTATGGGCTGTCTTGGGGCTCTCGTGGGCGATCGTGGGGCCCGGCTCGGCCGTCTTGAAGCTTTCTAGGGGGCCTTTTGGGGCGTCTGGAGGCGATCTCGGGGGCTTTGGAACCGTCACCGTCTTGAAAGCTAATGAAATGCGAAAGGCGAATCTGTTAAAATTGTAAGTTTTGCGAAATCAATGGGACGATTTTTGTAGTTTGAAGGCCCCTTGGAAAGCTGTTTGGAGTGCCTTGGGGGTCTTTATGTTGGCATTCAGAAACATCGCGGGGGTGTTTTCGAAGCCCTCGTGGGCCGTTTTGGCGCCTTCATGGGCCGTCCTGGGGCCTTCTTGGGCCGTCTTGGAGAGCTTGGGCCCGCTGGAGCCCAATTTGGACCCATCTTGGGCACTTCCGAGGACCTCCCATGGCCCTTTTGGGTCTGTGCTGGGATCCCCTGGGGAGCCTCTTGGTTCCATTATGGGCTGACTTGGGGCTCTCGTGGGCGATCGTGGGGCCCGGCTCGGCCGTCTTGGAGCTTTCTTGGGGGCCTTTTGGGGCGTCTTGAAGCGATCTCGGGGGCTTTGAAACCGTCTTGAAAGCTGATGAAATCAGAAAGGCGAAAATGCTAAAATTGTAAGTCTTACAAAGGGAATGGGACGATTTTTGTAGTTTGAAGGCCCCTTGGAAAGCTTTTCGGGGTGCCTTGGGGGTCTTTATGTTGGCATTCGGAAACGTCGTGAAGGTGTTTTCGGGGCCCTCGTGGGCCGTTTTGGCGCCTTCATGGGCCGTCCTGGGGCCTTCTTGGGCCGTCTTGGGGAGCTTGGGCCCGCTGGAGCCCCCTTTGGATCCATCTTGGGCACTTCCAGGGACCTCCCATGGCCCTTTTGGATCTGTGCTGGGAGCCCTTGGGGGGCCTCTTGGTTCCATTATGGGCTGTCTTGGGGCTCTCGTGGGCGATCGTGGGGTCCGGCTCGGCCGTCTTGAAGCTTTCTTTGGGGCCTTTTAGGGCGTCTGGAGGCGATCTCGGAGGCTCTGGAACCGTCTTGAAAGCTGATGGAATCCGAAAGGCGAATATGCTAAAATTGAAAGTTCTACGAAGGGAATGTGACGATTTGTTTGCTTTGAGGCCTTGGAAAGCTTTTTGGGGTGCCTGGGGGGGGGCTTTTGGGCCGTCCTGACGCAATTGGAGTCCCTCTTGGAGCGCTCTTGTTCTGTCTGGGGCCTCCCTTGAGTCTTTCTGATGACCCCTCGGATCGCTCTGGGTCTGCTGGCAAGGCGTTTGTGGAGACCCAGAAAGCCGGGTGACCTTTTCCAAGGACGTCCAATGAAACCCGAAAACCCCCCAGTTTTGGGGGGGGGAGCGTTTTTACCCCCCCCCCCCCGGGCTTGTCAAAATATAGGAAGAGGAATGTGCTAGAAGTGTGTGTGTGTGTGTGTATGTGTGTGTGTTGTGCGTGTGCGTGTGCGTGTGCGTGTGCGTGTGCGTGTGCGTGTGCGTGTGCGTGTGTGTGTGCGTGTGCGTGTGCGTGTGCGTGTGCGTGTGCGTGTGCGTGTGCGTGTGCGTGTGCGTGTGTGTGCGTGTGCGTGTGCGTGTGCGTGTGCGTGTGCGTGTGCGTGTGCGTGTGCGTGTGCGTGTGTGCGTGTGCGTGTGCGTGTGCGTGTGCGTGTGCGTGTGCGTGCGCGTGCGCGTGCGCGTGCGCGTGCGCGTGCGCGTGCGCGTGGCGCGTGCGCGTGCGCGTGCGCGTGCGCGTGCGTGCGTGCGCGTGTGCGTGTGCGTGTGTGTGTGTGTGTGCGTGTGTGCGCGCGTGTGTGCGCGTGTGTGCGCGTGCGTGCGTGCGAGCGTGCGTGCGTGCGGGCGTGCGTGCGTGCGGCGTGGGCGTGTGTGGGCGTGTGGGCGTGTGGGCGTGTGGGCGTGTGTGCGTGTGTGCGTGTGTGCGTGTGTGCGTGTGCGTATGTGCGTATGTGCGTGTGTGCGTAGGTGCGTGTGTGCGTGTGTGCGTGTGTGCATGTGTGCGTGTGTGCATGTGTGCTGTGTGCGTGTGTGCGGTGTTGTGCGTGTGCGCGTGTGTGCGTGTGTGCGTGTGTGCGTGTGTGTGTGCGTGTGTGCGTTGTGCGTGCGTGTGTGTGTGTGCGCGTGTGTGCGCGTGTGGTGCGCGTGTGTGCGCGTGTGTGGCGCGAGTGTGCGCGTGTGTGCGCGTGTGTGCGCGTGTGTGCGCATGTGTGCGCGTGTGTGCGCGTGTGTGTGCGTGTGTGCGCGTGTGTACGCGTGTGTGCATGTGCGTGCGCGTGTGTGCGCGTGTGTGCATGTGCGCGTGTGCGCGTGTGTGCGTGTGCGCATGTGCGCGTGTGCGAGTGTGTGCGTGTGTGCGTGTGCGCGTGTGCGCGTGCGCGTGCGTGTGCGCGTGTGCGCGTGTGCGCGTGTGCGCGTGTGCGCGTGTGCGCGTGTGCGCGCACGCACGCACGCGCGTGTGCGCGTGCGCGTGCGCGTGC